GGGCTCCTGCGGCAATATCCTTCCCGGCGAGGCCGCTCGGACTCGGCCTTCGCACGCACCCTTCTCGCCCCAGCCCTAGCCCCCGCCCGGCTTCTACCAGTCCCGAGCTCCCCGGGTCCTTCGTCCCCGGCCTCTACCCTTCCTCAGCAGCGCGGCCCTGGAGCTCGTTTTACTCCTCCGCATCCCTCTGGGTACCCGTGCATGGGCCTTGATCCCTCCAAACCTCCTTGCAGGAGACTGGGCCATGCCCGGCCGCTGATCCGCGGGAGGGCCGGAGGTGAGCCACCTTGGATTCATTGAGCAGCCAGGGCCTCCGGCGGCCTGTCTATGGCTTTCTTGGGCCCGATTGCAGCCCAGCGTGAAAATAGGTGGGTGGATTGTTGGGGGGAAGATGGACCAGAGGGTGGGGGTTGGGGAGGGGAGGGTGTGACATTGCCGTGCCACCTCTTCTCACCTGTCATCACATTCCTCTGAGCACGTTGGGTTTTGAGCTTTTATGGGCCGAGCCACATTCAACAAGTGATTTGCGACTCTCCCATTAACTGCCTTGTGCAGGAAGCATAGAAAAAGCTAGTGTCAAGTGTAAAAGAGACTCCCCAGCGACTGGAAATGACTGCTCTTGTGGCCACAGAAAACTGACGTTTAGAACAGAAGAATAAAAATAGAGGTGACTGTCAACTGGCTTGAGCACCACGGGGAACTGACAATCTCACAGGAAGTTTTTATTCTTTATGCAAATGGTGTGTACCCTTCCCCCGCACTTGCTAGGGCCGTGTTGGAGGCTCTTGCTGTATATAAATCATGTTCTGGGTGTTTAATCAGTTGACTTAGCCTGGGAAGTCAGGCCTACTGCTTTTGGGAGGAGCCCCGTAGTTCTCTAATATACCTTTAAAACAACTCGTCCAGACAGGAGTGTTTTCAAACGTGGAGATTTCAAACTTGTATTTCCTGCATCATTCAAGTGGTTAAATGGGGTGATGAGAACGGTTTTTATTGTGGTGCAGGGAATTGACTGGTTTATGGGCACTCAATTGTTGACAAGGCTCCAGAGTGATTCATTTGACCCAGAATCCTAATTATATTGATGAAGAGACTGGGGCTTGGTCAGCTGTTGCCTTGGTACTTTTTTTTTTTTACCGGAGACAGGGTTTCTCTGTGTCCTGGAACTCACTCTGTAGAGCAGGCTGGCCTCGAACTCACAGAGATTCACCTGCCTCTGCCTCCTGAGTGCTGTGACTAAAAGTGTGCGCCACCAATGCCTGGCGCTAGCTGTTTTCATTATTTTTTTAATGAGGCAGTTTCAGGCTTTAGATTTAGAGCTTCTAGAGAGAGGAGATGGCAGTATCAGAAGCCTTGTTACGGTGGAAAATGTACCTCTTGGGATTGGGAGAAGGGAGGTTAGCAGATGAGAAGTGAAACCCTAGCAGATGTCAGCAGGTAGGGGGAAGGATGGAAGTAGTAATTGAGTGCCTTCCAGGTGCCAAGTGTTGGACTTCGATCATTGCATTCAATCCAAAGAACCTCATGGGAGGGAGTCTTGGAGAAGAGCAGAGGTTTGGGGGGGGGGGCTAAGAGGAAGTGGTCTCCGCTGTTGTGGGAATTGCCATTGTAGAAGAGTAGATAGAGTATTTTTCCCTGGTGCAAGAAGGGACTTTGAGAGCCCTTCCCACGTGAAGGGATACGCTCTGGCCGTGGACACATGGGGAAGGGCCCAGGACCAGCACAGGAAGATTTGGTGGACTTTGCAGAGCCCCGGTTGAGAGGTCACATACTTCTCAACCTCAGTATTCTTTTTCTAAATGATAGACATAACTATGCTGGCCTCACAACTTCAATGTAGCTTCACGGAACACACATCTGGTGTTCTCCACAGGTTGTGGTGATGGAGTGTACAGAGGGCTTGGATTTGTGACCTTGAGCAGGTAATTTCCCTTCTGGCTCAGTTTCATTGTCTCAAAGGAAGAAGTCAGGTTCTTGTCCCAGAGGATTTTTAAAGGAAGGTGAAATGTGACTGCATCTAGTCCTGGGTCTAAGACCCTGGGGAGATTTTTCCTCCACTCTGGCAGTTTTAAATTATCACTGTAGCTCATTTTCTTTCTCAGTGAAGCAGCTTTTGGTCCTTGAAGAGGACTATAGAGCACCATTTTGAGTGATTTCATATAGTTCTTTTCACCCCCAAGGAAATTTGACAATCTGGTGACACTTGTTTATCACAGTTTTAGGATGTTACTGGGAACTTTAACGGTAGAGGCCAGGGAGGCTGTTAAGCATCCTGCAACACACATCAAAGTTTTAGGGTCATGGCTGAGAACAGTCTAGAGGGTTCTGTAGTTACCACAGTGTGTTCTCTGAAAGTGCTGGAAGCTGTCTAGGTATGGAGGTAGTTTAGTAAACTTTGTGAGATGGGAGAGTTGCACCCCCCCCCCCCCCCCCCCCCCCCCCCCAGTGCTACCCAGCAGTAGCTTTTGTGAAGATTGCTTCACAAAAAGCTGCAGGTACTGTCTGGCAGTGGTGGCACAGACCTTTAACCCCAGCATTTGGGAAGCAGAAACAGGTGGGTATCTGAGTTCGAGGCCAGCCTGGTCAGGACAAGCGCTAAAGATATAAAGAGAAACCCTTTCTCAAAAAAACAAAAAGCAGTACTAAACTTAACATTCTTGTCCTTCCCCCATATCCATTTTGTCAGTGAAATGATGTTAGTCCACATGTACTGTTAAGCCTCTGGGACCCTGCTTATTGCCTAGTGTATACCAAGTTAAAAAGTTATGGGGTAGAAGGCTATCATTGGCTGTATCAGGACTAGCCTTTCTTTGTCTGAGGAAAAGGAATTCTAAAACGAATAGATAAGGTAGGGTCTGATTGAGCACAGTGGGGGAGTGGCTTGTCTTGTGGCACAGACCAGCTTTTCATGATGGCACTTACTGGGGAAGCTGGGAAATCAGGTTTGTACCAGAGGCTAGCTGTTTATACATAGGGATTGCAGCACAAACAGGAATTTTAAATGTCCTGATTGGACAGTCATTCCTTGTTCTGTTTTTTAAGTGTTTTGGCTTAAGCCAGTGTTTCACATGAGGGAATGAAAGTTGGCTGATGTAATTCAGTTTAAAATAGGTGTCACCTTTGGGGACATAACCTACTTTGTAATTTTCTTTGTGTGCCGGGTATTCAGATCTCAGCAGTGAATGTGGAGTTGGGATTGTATGTAAGGTTTGTGGGGCAAGGGAACAGATGGCTCATGGCTCACTTTGTAAGCCAAAGTAAGACTTTGCCGATCTGGAAAATAGACCCCCCCTTTTTTTGAGACAGGGTCTAACCATGTAGCTCTCTCCAGCTGGCCTTCGACTTCTGCCTCTGCCTGAATGCTGTGCTGTCCATGGACTCATTCTGTAGACCAGACTGGCCTTGAATTCAGAGATCCAGCTGCTTTTGCCTCCTGAGTGCTGGGATTAAAGGCTTACACCACCACTGGGGCTGGCTTCAAGTTATTTGTTTAGTAGTTTAGAAAGAAGCATTGAGTGAAGAGTTAGGATGTGTTTGTGTCTATTTTTCGCTTTTAGAATGAGAGGGTGAGAATTCTTACAGTTCATCTGTGCATGAACTCTGTAGGGTAGACAGCCTAGCACTGAGGTGCATGTAGGCTGTTTCAGATTCTATTACAAAAGTGGGCAGTTTTCTTGGGCTGGAGAGATGGTTCAGAAGTTAAGAGCACAGGCTCCTCTTCTAGAGGTCCTGAGTTCAATTCCCGGCAACCACAAGGTGGCTTATAACCATCTATAATGGGAACTTGGTGCCCTCTTCTGGCCTGCAGACAGAACATTATATACCAAAGAAGTAAATAAGCCGGGTGGTGGTGCCTTTAATCCCAGCACTCGGGAGGCAGAGGCAGGCGGATCTCTGTGAGCTGGAGACCTGCCTGGTCTACAAGAGCTAGTTCCAGGACAGCCTCCACCTCAGGGAGGAATGAAGGAAGAGCTTGCAGGTTAGCAGAGGTTAGGAAAGCTGGCTCTGTCAGGCTGTGCCTGCCTGGGAGAGGCCAGCAGGATAGTGGGTGCTATGGATAAGATCTGTTTGATTACCTTTAAACTGTTTATGGAGTAAGGTCATTAATGAGAACATGGACATGTTTGAGCTTAGCCATCCTTAACTGGCCTTGATGCACAGGGGACATGCTTCGGGCATTCCATGCAGCCTTGCGGAACTCTCCAATCAACACCAAGAATCAAGCTGTGAAGGTAAAGAAGCCATACTGCAGCTCTGCCCAGTGTTGTCAGAACCAGGGTTTTGATTGTGTCCTTAACAGCAGACTGGACAGCAACTCTCATCAATGGGAGTTAGGTGCTACTGGGGTACTGCTTTCCATTGAAGCCACTTGCTATTCCCCAGATATTGGTGCAGTAGGTAGCCTGATAACCTTGCAATCTGTAGTTTTTTTTAGTTTTTTTTTTTTTTTTTTTTTCCAGTTTTTCGAGACAGGGTTTCGTTTGTCTGTGTGTTGCTTTGGAAACTATCCTGGCACTCACTCTGGAGACCAGGCTGGCCTCAAACTCACAGAGATCCGCCTGCGTTTGTCTCCCGAGTGCTGGGATTAAAGGCGTGCGTCACCAACGCCCGGCCTGCAATCTGTAGTCTTAAGGCCTTGCTGATATATCAAAAATAGTGACCCAAGGCTTGTGTAGCATATTGACTGCCCTGGGTTCAATCCCTGGCACCAAAAAGAGAAAGTTATCTGTACTAAACTACTTGTTTTTTTCCATACTAAGTAGAATCAAAATATGAGATATGGTGAAATTTAAAGCCAAACAAGTTTAGCTCATCTATGTAGCTCTGCCCTAGATGAATTAGAAAGGGATGGTGTTTCTGTCATGTTTTGTTCAGTGGTGGTAGCAGTGTTATGATTTTAATTCTTGGCCTCATCCTTTTTTTTTTCTTTCCTCTATAGGACCGAGCCCAGGGTGTAGTGCTGAAAGTACTCACAAACTTTAAGAGCAGTGAAATTGAGCAGGCTGTGCAGTCACTGGACAGAAATGGCATTGACCTGTTAATGAAGTACATTTATAAAGGGTTTGAGAAGCCCACAGAAAATAGCAGTGCAGTGTTACTCCAGTGGCATGAAAAGGTATGTGACTACATTGCTTCACTGCAGGCTGCAATTCACCCAGAGTTCACACTGGCAGGTCAGACTTAGAACAGATGTAGGATGGTCCAATGGTCACTTAGAAATGACAGGCCTAAGCAGTAACACTGCACTTTTCCCTCACCTTCAAATACAGGCAGTCATGTTACATTTGCTTCTTAGCTGTGGATTAGGTTAGGCAGGACAAATTACCCTTGATATAGGACATGAGGCAGGTGGCATGGTGAAGTCGGGGCTTGATGTTTCCTTTGAATGTGGGAGAGAGCAGCTGCAAAGACATTGAAGACATCTTAGAAATGCAGGCCCAGTCTCACTGCTAGAAGAGCCAATTGGCAGAAATCTGAGTCAGTTAATATGGTTTCCATTCACATGAAGCAGCAAAGGCTTTTTTGTCCTTTACTTGAAGGATATATAGGACTAAGGCCATGCATGTGTCAAGCTTTTGTCCTGCTTGTGTGTCAGCTGCCCGCCTCCCAACACGTCAGTAAATACACCCACCACTTAAGGGGACAAGTCTGTGATGAATACAGTTCTTGCCAAGAGGTTCAGCATTAGATTTTATGAGGGTCTTGTGTAGCTCAGGTTGGCCTCAAATTTGTTTTTTAACTGGGGGGATGGCTTTGAACTTGTGATGTTAGTGCAAAGATTGTAGGCATGTGTCACCATATTGGGTTTGTATGGTGTTGGAATGGAATCATGGACTTCAGCCACATCTCCAGCATGAGATTCTTTGCCAGTGCTAGAGGCAGATCCAGGGTTCTGGTATGTGTTAGTCAAGTGAGTCACTGAAGTAGACCCCTTAGCAGTATTGAGTTTTAAGAACGCTGCTTTTTCTAGTAGGTCAGTTTCCAGCAAAGTATTATTTCATGGCCTCTGGTCCTCTTTGGGGTGCTGAGCCTTTAAAGCCTCATCTTTGTCTGGACTCAGAAGTTGCTACTGGTGGTGGTGGGTCTCAGGTGGTATGGTAGCCAGGCCATTTCATCCCTGTAAGGTGACTTTGTGTCAGTCTGTCAGCAGGCAGTTCTCTGTGGGCTGTGGTGCATTTTCATGGATAGGTAGGTGCTGGCAGGCAGTAGGCTTGTTACAGGCAACTCAGGCTCTGTTTTGTGCTTGGGGTCCTAAGCCAGCTCTGTTGCTTCAAGGGTTGGCAGCTTTTGGGCCCCTTGGCTCTCCCTAGAATTTGATCTTTCTCAGCAAGACTGTGACATGGTGGGATTTATTTAGGTTTGGGAATATGTGTCTCTCCAGGTGAGTAAAGCTCTCCTCTGACCAGTCAGGTACCATTTGACATGTTTCCTTTTCCTGTCTCCACAGGCTTTAGCTGTAGGAGGACTAGGCTCCATTATAAGAGTTCTTACAGCAAGAAAGACTGTTTAAAAAAAAAAAAAAGAATCATGTTACCTTAAGAAGAATTTTGGATGCCCAGGCTGGTGAAGAAGGGACTGATAATGGACCATATTCCTGAACTCCCAACTATATATTTCAGGAAACATATCTGCTGAAATGTATTTTGCTTTTAAGGTGGAGGGAGAAATAGTCTTATTGTTTCCTAAATTCTTTGCAGGATTGGTGTCTCTGCCTTCATTTACAGAGTAACACAGAATTGACACTTGACTATCACACTGACTGGCCAGATTATGTCAGGTGTACCTGTATGCACTGTCTGTTTGAAATGGGGAGGGGCTATTTGGGCAGGTGCAGATCCAAGGGCTGCTGTGAAAAGGAGAGTTTGGGTTCTGAAGTGAAAAAACCTGAGAGTTTGTACAGATACACTGTCTTCCCAGAGAAGACAGGCTCTCTAGGGTTCATTGTAAAGTGCCTGCTGCATCAATAAAGCTCTTGGCTCATTAGTCTATTGATTGCGGTGTGTTCTCTATATGTTAAATGGTAAGCAAAGGGATGGCAATGAATGACAGTCTGATGGTTTGGAAAGCTGATGTTGAAGGGGTAGAGGTGTTCCTATACTGCCATGGCAAGCATGGCAGTACCACAGCTATGCCACACCACACTGATGATGCCACCAAGGGGCATTTTGCTGAGTATATATTGTTTCTTACTCCTTTGATTTGTATGTAATTTTGGAGCTTATTTAATAAAATGTCAAACGTTTAATTGAGGCTTCAAAAGTTATCCGTTTGTGTGATTACAGCTGGAGTCTTGGGCAGGTTCTGGTCACCGTCTCCTGATAGGGTCTGATGAATTGCAGGAGTTTCTGTCATGCCTTGACAGCTTTACTTTTGAGACTAAATGAAACCTCAGCAATGGCAGTCCGCTATTAGCCATAAAGCAAGTATTTCTGAGCATCATTAATTGCAGCTTAAATGCTGGCAGAGGCCCCCATTTCATATTCCTGCAGCTTTGTGGCCAAAGTGCCATAGGCCTTGCCCTTCCCAGATTCTCTGCAGACCCACTGATTCTTGAGAGGTAGGACTAGGCTTTGGACGTCATTAAATCATATATTTATTCACCATTAATCTGGGGAGTTTGATTGCTTCTGATAGACAAACATCTGTAGCCCTTGAAATATTAAGTACAAAGCCAGGTGGTGGTGGTGCACACTTTTAATCCCAGCACTCAAGGCAGAGGCAGGAGGATCTCTTGAGTTAGAGGCCAGTCTAGTCTACATAGTGAATTCCAGGACAGCTGGGGCTACACAGAAAATCCCTGTCTTGGAAAAAACAACAACAAAAATCCCCTCCTCAAACTTATCAAGTAAAACTCACTGTAGTTGCATCCTGAAGTGCTTTAATCAAAAAGTATTGCACCACAAATGACTCACAGCAGTTTTTAGATAATGCCACCCCTATTTACATTGGTAGTAAGATCACAGTCCAGTGCTCATATATAAAGGGCTACATGTACTGTCTCGTTATCAAAGGTTATAGAAGTAAAGTGCATCAAACTCCTTAGAATAGCTATTGCACTCTTCTAGTGCTGAAGGAGCTTAACGTGCAGCAGGAAAGCCATTTAAATGAGTGGGCCAGGCCCCACAGCTACATCTCAACTTCCAGGCAGGAGAGAGAGAGACAGACAGAGACAGAGGAGAGGGAGGACAGAGAGAGGAGAGAGAGAAAGCAGCTCAAGGGGCTGAGAAACCTCAGGCCTAGAAAGGGCCTCCTAAGCTGGGATTGTAGCTGCTTTTGGAGGGCTATGGACTGCCCAGTTCTCTGGGGGTTCTTACCTGGGGCAGGAGGAAAGTAGGATATCCTACTTGGTGGAAAAGCTACATCTTTCTCAGTAAAGTCATAGAACAGTGGGACTCTGGTTTCATGCCCCACTAAATAGGAAACTTTAAGAGGAGCCACAGCCAAAGCAATGCCATCCTGATTTAGAAGGCAAATGCTGCAAATACTTGGATTTCTGTATGGCAGGCACACTGTATGTGTGTACATACATATGTTGGCCTTAAGATGAAAAATATAAATTTACCTAGATAAATGTTAACTTTAGAAGCTCCAGTTATTACTTTAATTGCTAATGAAACTTTCAAACTCAAATCAAATGGTTTCCCTTGAGAGCTAAAGTGGCTTATCCAAAGCAAGTGTAAAAATGAACATAAGTTTCTATCAGATAAAACTGAGGCATATATGCTATCAAGGGCAGCAGCCAACTGGGCTGTCTGGATGCCAGGTATGAATGTAGTGTTAAATACTGGCAGCAGGAGAGTGACAGCCTGCTTTCCTTGAATTCAGCAGGTTGTTCTTAAGGAGAAAAGTGTGATTGGCTCTTGCTCAGTGGTAGTACGACAGAATTCAGAGCAAAGCCAGAGAAACTCCACTGCTTCAGAGGGCAGTTGCCACAGAAGGCAAGCATAATGACAAAGGGGCATGACTGGCACTACAAAGATTTGGTGCTCTGATTTTCCTTTTTAAATGTATTTTATGATACAGAAGACATGTTTATAATAGTGAAGAACATTTGCTATAAAAATAGTTTAAAATGGTTTACCAGCAACCCATCCAAGACGAGCACATTCATTAAGAAGGCAACTGAGTGTATTTGGTGCTCTACGTAGAGATCATTCCGTCTGCTTGCTAGCTTTCTCAGGACTGGAAAGTTGCATACTCATCAGTCCACATTGGCCCCGTTACCTATGAGATGGACACATCTCAAGTTCTAGGTGGTTGGGGAAACAAAATGAAATGATACTTTCTTGAGAGGCAACATTGCATGAGAACCCCAACATGCTACTGGAAGGGGACTTCAACGACCACCCTTGAGTTGGCTTTTCTATGAAAGGACTGACTCCCCCTTCAGTCATGTAACCTCTGTTTGATAATTAGTTGTTCCCTGATATGCCAATCACTTCAATTTTAAGTGCTAATGTTCAAAGATAGAGGACTCAACTATAGCTGGCCAGAGCTGGGATATTAGCAGCACTACGAAGATCTGGGCAGTGCCCAGTATCGCTCTTGTTTGGTGACCAGAATGAAGTTCATACCAGCTTGCAAGGAGGTTGGCCTAAGGCTTGTAAACAGTGTCTAGACACTTACACAAAAAACTGCAGTTAACAGCAATTAAAAACCCACCCAGTCTGGTGTGTCAGTATTTTTTTCACAGAGTGTCAGCCCATGTAGCTCACTCCTTGGGTGGTTCTAGGACCATGGTATCCGAGGGTTGGAGATAGATGGCCGGATGCTGCCCTTGGGAGCTGGTTTGGATCCAAACCAAGACATCTGCATTTGAAACAGAAAAGGCTTCTGAGCTGAGAAACAGAACTAGGGGCCATGGGAGCAGAAATAGCCCTTGCCTTCTAGTCATCCCCAGCTAGTCAGAGGAGTAACCAAGGAGCTTCCAATAAAGCAGTGTGCAGGGCTAAGAGCCCAGATTCAGGGAAAGAGATGGTAGCAGGGAATGACTCTGATGAGAAGCAAGTGGAACTGGAGGAAGGCTTCTCCACTCTATCACAGCATTTATGCAGGGACCTTAGCAACTTCATGGGGTTTGCTGTGCTGGTGACTGAACCTGAGACCTTGCATATACTAGGTAAGTACTTTACCACTGAGCTATACAAAAAAAATCCAAACAAACAAACAAACAAACAAAACAAAACAAAAAAACACTGTTAAATGTAGGTGCCAGGCCCGAACTGGAGCAGTTGAGGAAGTGACATCAATGAAAATTCTGTGATGAGCTATAGTTTGGTGTCTGGCAGTGACAAAGAACAGAACATTGGGGGCTGGAAAGATGGCTCAGCAGTTAAGAGCACTGGCTGCTCTTCCATAGGTCCTGAGTTCAATTCCCAGCAACCACATGGTGGCTCACAACCATCTGTAATAGGATCTGATGACCTCTTCTGGTGTGCAGGTATATACACAAAGCACTCATACATAAAATATAAATAAAAGAATGTTCTTTGAACTGCCTGGTCAATTTCATCTTACGAAAGCAAATAAACTACCAGGCAGTGGTGGCACAAGCTTTTAATCCCAGCACTCAGAAGGCAGAGGCAGCTGGATCTCAAGTTCAAGGCCAGTGCAAGTTCCAGGACAGCCGGGGCTACACAGAGAAACACTGTCTCTAATGCCCCCGCCCCCCCAAAAGCAAATAAGCTGAGGTACTACTGTGGCTGGTCTGGGTGTCAGTGCCTGGGTGACTGACACCTGTGCAGCGGTGGAAACAGCAGACTAGGGAAAGCCTACCTTATACTCCAGAGTTTCTTTGAGCATGCTCTCTTCTTCTTGTGAAAAGTTCAACAGCACTGACACTGCTTTTATGAGATGAAAAGCCTGCAACAAAACCCACTTTTGTTGCCATAGGCCTTGGGGGTAGGCAGGCAGTTGAGGGACTAAAGAGCAGCATTTCCTGTTTCCCTTGGTTCACAAGGATGAGATGGTGGGTGCAGTTCTAGCTCTTTGAGTCATCTCTGACTTTGGGAGCCAAGAGAATATCCTCAACAGCTAACCCTGCTCTTCATGCTGGACAGACTCTTTCTAGGTCTTTGGCTTCAGCAACACAAGCTAAAATTCAGAGGGGAACCACTTCCCTTCATGGTCTGCTCAACAAGTCAGTACTGAGGGATGAGGGAAGAAGGTGGAAGCAGGCTGAGGGAAGCCATGCAGGACTGGCTGGCTGTACAAGCCCGATACCCCAAAAAGCATTTTGAAGTCTTTACCTCAGATTCTCGACAGGACATGAATTTTAAAACAACATGTTTAAGGTATTCAAAGTTGATCTCTCGGGCATCAGTCAGGTCAGCATTATTGGTGACAGAAGGGGCCATATTTGGTATCTCAGGGCCTGTCTTTTCCCGGACCTCAAAAAGCTCACTGTCAGGCCTGATTTTCTGAAAAGCAATGGAAAATGTGCCATGTCAAACCCCTCCAGCTAATTCTAGGATCACAGGAAGATTCTCCAGACCCAGCTGTAACTAGCTCTTCGACTAACTGCACATCATTGGGCAAAAGGGCCCTTGACTAGAAGGAAGTGCCTGAGCTGAGGAAGGCTCAGCTCTTCTCTTGGGGTCAGTAAGAGGAGTGAACTAGGGAACTCTCTATGTGAGAATGCAGGCAGGCATGGATAAGGCAGACTCAGACCGTGGGCCCTAGGTCAAATGGTCACAAGAACACTTCTCAAGCTTTAAGACCCTTCTCCCACCACCCCACACCTGACTTCTCAGAGAACCCTCTGCAATCAACTAAGAGAACACACACCCCCAGGGAGTCAATGACCTCAGGAGGACCAGAGAATCAGGGACATATGGGACTGAGTGCGTGGAGGGCACAAGTGGGCACTCACCAGCTCCTTCTGTAGAGTCTTCTTAAGTTCCAGCATCCTCTGCTGCATCTGCTTCATAATCTGAGGTAACCCCCACCCCCAATACCAGCTGTCAGTGCCATGTTAGAAGGCCCTAAGAGGCCCTCCTGTAGGTTCATTCTCAGGGCCCTCTAGGGCTTCCTTGCCGCTGTTCCACCCTTTGCTTTCCCAGGACCCACAGGGGCCACAGTATTAGCCTGTTCTTTCAATAGAACACTGCCACCCACCCTTGTGTGCTGGGCCCTCAGGCCTTCTGGCAGCACCCACATACTTGGAGCCTGCTGCTGTGAGTGGCTCTGTAGAATATACTACAGGTTTTTAAAGTATGGATGTTTGCTTTTAGTTGTGTTGAATGCCCTGGGACTGGAGTTGCCATGTGGATGCTGGGAGTTGAACCCAGGTTCTCTGTACGAGCAGTACTCTTAACCACTAAGCGATCTATCCAGCTCCTCAGATTCCTTTTTTTTTTTTTTTTGGTTTGAATCTCATGGTTGTCACTGCTGTACTGATAATTTCAGTGTTTTCTGTATAAGCCACTAATACTGGATACTGGTTTTATTTTTATGTTTTAATCAGTGGGTTTACTATAAGGCTTAAATGTAGTTTACTACACATTCCATCATTCATTCAAAAAGCTGTACTCCATTTTCCTAACTTGAAACTTTATAATCTGGCTCAAAGGATTTTATTTTTCTTAGGCACAGGGATCAAGCTCAAAGAAAAAAAAAATGTTTTTTGAGACAAGGTTTCTTCTGTGTAGCCCTGCCTGTCCTGGAACACTGTAGACTAACCAGTTTGGCTCAAACTCACAGAGATCTGCCTGCTTCTGTCTCCCAAGTACTGGGATTAAAGGCGTGGGCCACCATGGTGAGACCAGTCTCTAAAGAAAGCTTCTCATGGGCTGGAGAGATGGTTCAGAGGTTAAGAGCACTGGCTGTTCTTCCAGGGGTCCTGAGTTCAATTCCCAGCAATCATATGGTGGCTCACAACCATCTGTAATGAGATCTGGTGCTCTCTTCTGGCCTGCAGGCATACATGAAGACAGAACACTGTATACATAATAAATAAATAGCTATTTAAAAAAAAGAAAGCTTCCCATGGCCTAGGATAGCCTTTTCTTCTGGCCCTTCTGCATCTGTCTCCAGAGTGCAGGGTTACAGGTATGCATCACTATGTTCAGCAAGGACTTAACTTGCACTGAGAGATGTAAACACTGGAGGACAGAAGAGTGAGACCAAAACCTATCAGAAATCCAGCACCAACCTCTTGAGGAGAGATGGCAGACTTGGTGGAAGGGGTAATGGCACTGAGGAGGAACAGCGGGGCCTCAGGCCTGAGGGCTGGGCTAGAGCAGACCCACAGCTAGCCCAGGTCCTGGGTGTCCTCACCTTATTTTTCTCTGTAAGTTGCTGCTCTAAGTCCTGCTTTTCTTTCTGTAGCTGCTCTAGATCCATGGCTTCAACCTCACCATTTGGGGTTCCGTCTGCAGCCTGAAGCTCATACTCAGAATCCTGCATGGCTTTTGCGATGACCTACAGGATAGTGGCAACAGGACAAAGGCAGACTGAGATGCGGGTCCATGGGGAAGAAGTGTCAGCTCATTTGCACAGGTGGGATATGGCATATTGCAGCAGGCAGCTGGTGACAACTAAGGTCAGACATGAGATTTCTTCCATTGCCTGTCAGGTGAACTGGTGGATTTTGATGATTAATTAGCACACTAACAGGTGCTGCCAAACAGATGGTCCTATAGGTCCAAGCTCCCTAGGCAGCTGAGCACCCTTTACTACAAAGGCAGGACCCTAAAAGGGCAGACTCTACCCTATGCTCCAGTATGGGGATAGCACTCACAAGTGGCTCCTGGCCCTGCAGCTGCAGGGGGTCCTCTCCTGTTGTGGGTTCTACAGCCTCCTGGGCTCTACAGCTCCTCAAGGCCTCCAGTTCACTCTGCAGTTGGTGAATCTGTAGTAGGGCAGAATCGTGACCTAGGGTGGTAGGAGTATAGTGTGAGCCAGTAACTTCACACTGCTTACCAGTGACACTTTGCTGGTCAAGGGTCAACTCCTCACCTTTCTCCAGCTGGCGAAGTTCCTGCTCCTTATGGAGAAGCACTTTGTCCTTTTCACACAGGTTCCGATTTTTCTCTTCTATGATGGTTGTCAGCTGGGCAGCCTTAGCAGGAAACTCAGCGTAAGAAGGGCTGACATAATCCCCTCTCCTACAGAGATTCCATTTTCCAACTGGGGGGTGGGGAGCCCTCTATGACATCAGTAGCTTAGAACAAACCCTTGGCAATCGGATCTGTTCTGTTGAATGACCCTGCCCCTCTGGTCTATGCTGGGCTGAGCCAGAGAGTGGATGTTTTGGTCAGCCTCTCAAAACATCTTTTCCTGAACACTCATGCTGCACTAGCCTGTTGCATTGCCTCATTCTGGTGTCAGAAGGTATGATTACCCTAAATTCTCTTCAGAGATGCCTAGGGTTCAGATTGGTCAAGAAGTCATTGGAGGTCTCTAGCCAGCAGGACCAGAGCCAGGTGCTCTGTCTGTGCCCACATATGGTTTTACCTACACTTCTGGCTGGAACTCAATTTTGTGAGTAGCAGGTGGTGATGTACCACCTCACAGAATCAGACTGTTAGATCTCTACCTAAGGACTTTGTGTGTGTGTGTGTGTGTGTGTGTGTGTGTGTGTGTGCGTGTGAGTGTGTGTGTGTGTGTGTTTGTGTGTGTGTGTGTGTATTTTGTTTTTGAGACAGGGTTTCTCTGTGTAGCCTTGGCTGTCCTGGAACTAGCTCTGTAGACCAGGCTGGCCTCGAACTCACAGAGATCTGCCTGTCTTTGTCTCCTGAGTGCTGGGATTAAAGGCGTGCACCACCACCACCCAACTTCAATGTTTTACAACTAAATAACTAGCCATGAAAAGTTAGGAAGTGGCATCACCTGGGCTAAGGTTTCTTGGTAATATAGTTTCTCCTGTATTGTACAGGTCCAATTGACTGTGTTCCCTGAAACCCTTGACATGCCTACCTGGGGTTTGTGTGGGTGGCCCCTCTGATGGCCCCACCACAGGAGGCACAGTGCCCCTGAGACTGCAGGGGAACATGGTTTTGGCCCACACCTTGGTAGCCAGCTAGGGGCCTACCTGTTGCTGGAACTCTTCCCTCTGTTTCCGCACCTCCTCCAGGGCTTGTGCCATAGCTACACTTACAATTTCTCTTTGGCTCCATTCATCCTACAATTCAGAAAACAGGTAGATAACTGAGTCCCCCAAAAAATCTATATTTTCTCATCTGTGTCCTTTACCTGAAGCCCAACAGAGAGGTACCTACTACATAGGGTCAGACAGGCTTCCTTACATGCTTTTGATAGCTGCCTTGTTGGGCACTGCATCTACTCTCACAAATGGGCACATCAATGAGGGCCAACGGTCCTGGTAGCTCACCACACCCAGTAACCAGAACTGGTCTAATGAAACCCACACAAAACAAGAAGGCTCACAGGTACAATCTGGTCACATGATG